GATTTTTCACAAGTGTATCAATGAGGGTCTTGTCTATATGACTGCCAACGCACGCAAAAAGATCTCTAAGATTAAAAAAGGTATTCAACAAATACTGGCATGATCGCGAAAGTATTCTTGATTCGCCCCACACCACTCTATTGAAAGATAAACTAACAAATTTTTCTGAATCAGCCGTTTTGTAGCCCACATCAAACTACCTCTAATATGTAACTTTTACGCTTCCCATTCCATGAATCCGATAAAAGTACATTTCTTATCGATTGATGGTTTCAGAAGATTACCTCTCCGATACTCCACTAAACTTAATGTTAATTTACTACTGCTACTGTCTGTCACAACAACATTATCAGCAATAAATAATTTATTTCTCAAATTTTCACTTAAACACCCTTTTGGCTCTTGTAAATATTTTTAGCAAAATCCTCTAGAACTTAGAGCTCCATTATTTCCTTTTATGTTATTGAGTTAACCGATATGATACAGAGTTGTTACACAGACTTTAAATTATAACCGATAATGGTAATAGCATTCATGAGATGAACTGTCGCATTTTTTCGATGTATTTCTACTTTTTTCTATAATGCATGTATCTTAAACTTCAATCACTTTCTATCAGGCATGGGCGAGTCCGAGGAGTACTGGGTCCCGAGTCTATTTCGAGTCCGGTAATCTTTTAGATTCTTTTTTGATGAGGGTGATTTATTTCTCTTTTTTAATTTACTGAACCCTGGATAGATATTTGATTTTTCGAAAGTAAGATTACTTCGCATGTCCGTCTCCCGAACAAAATTTTCAATTTCTTGTGAAACAGAAGGTGTTGTTATTTCGCTTTTCAGTTTTCTCTGTTCATTTGTGTTAAAAGTTGAATAGATCAAACTCGAAATACAAAAACTCCAGCCCGAATCCTTCAAGAAAATCTCCCAGTTCGCACTTGGACTCGTTCATGCCTGCTTTCTACTATATCTGTTTGTTTTGTACTTACCGATCTGTTATAGAATAAACAGTGCACTTCTTCATTTAGTCATCCTTTGTGATATTAAGTTGGTGACAAAGCATTTATTTTATTTGTCCTGCCATACAAATATTCCCAAGAAGGCAAAAGTACCTTCCGAAGATGCCAGGAGCGAGGCCGAGCTATGGAAAACTCTGTGGAGACGAGTATATCTGAGCTAAAAGACTGAGATCTATGCGTTAAAAATGATGATTTATCATGTATATAATTGTTTTTTTACATTTTCATTACGTCTAAGAGGAAAGATACATAAGGAAAGCTACGTATAAGAGGAAACTATATATTAAGGTTCATACTCGATTGAAATTACAATGGTTAGTCTGCTAAATTTTAAAGATGAAAGTAAATTATCGAAGAAAAAAGCCGTGTATAAAAATAAACAAACAAGTGACAAAAAGAATGACTATTTCATATCCTAATTCATCTAATAGCTTGTACTATTAGTTACAAACTGTCTTAAGATTTATTTTCAAAAATGTCTCGATTGATAGTGTTTCTCTCTAATGCATACTCGCTAGATAATGTAATTGTGCCGAGGGAAAAAGACAAGGAGACACACAGGTCGTTACTCAACTTTTACGAAATATTTTGTACGGCGCTTATTACCTTGCAATGATCCTATACAGTCTATCTAAATAAATCATACTTAACATCACTCTCTTGTTTTATTATGAGAAAAAAAAAATAATTTAAAAGCAGAGTTATACACAACAGCAATTTTACTTAGATACATCTCGTTGAAAAATAAAAAAACAGGCCGAGATCACGAACATTTAATTGTAATAAACGACCAAAAAAAGAAAAATATCTTTTGAAACTTTAAAGTATAAATTATTGAAGCCAACACTTAGTAATTGTTATACTTCACAAAAAGAGAAATAACATACAAGAATCTGAATTAATCCAATAAAGTAAAAAATTTATGTAGCACCATAAACGAAAAGATTCAGAAAAAATTATGGATAAGTGTTTTTAAATGAAATAGAATATATATCTACATACATAAACAGGACACATCTAAAAGGAAAGCATGATTAATATCTAGAAACTGACTGAAGATAGAGTTCTGCAGGTTAAACCTAACCTAACCTAAAAGATTATGAAATTTTTTATAGTTTTGGTTGTAGGTTACGGTATTGATAATCTATTTTTAATTTAAACGAAAAAAAAAACGATTTTGAACGATCACATTAAAATCGTCGATACTTTGAGTAATAAAGCGTAATCTTATTAAATCAAATAACTGCCATAAACAACGCCAGCCAGTCCTCTCTTGCCACGAGCTGAGACTCTCTCACACTTTCGCTTAGCACTAACTACACCAACATTTACTGGTGCTAATCGAACGAATATAATTCTGAAACTGTTTAAGTGAAACTTCATCGTTCCATCGATAAAGTTCAGACTGAGGTTTTCTCGTGTAAACTGAACTATTTTTAAACTTAAAAATGGAAGTATAGAGAAAAAACTTATATCTGTAAAAAATAGATGGTGAATACACAACAATAATACAATCTTCGTAGCGTCGAGAGTCTAAAGTGGAATTCTGATCTACTATTAAGAGGGTGCCCCTACTCAGAAAGCTATTTTCCAAACGTTGTACTAAAGAATAAAAGACTCAAGTGATTCAATTTCTTTATTCATTTAAAATGTCATTCATTTTGTATAAGTTTTTTCTATCAGACGCTGTTTAGATAAGAAGCAATAACGATCTGAAACAAAGCTGAAGTTTAGGCTTTTGAAACCCTGTTTTGAGGAAAATCGCATAGGTTATATTAGGTCAATCTAGATTAGATTACGAAAAACATAGGTTTTTATAGATTAGGTTATAGATTGTCAAAAAGTCGTAACCTACAGCACTCTAACTGAAGGTTTTTAATCCAGTTGAACGTTTTTAAGAAGCTTTAGTGTAGATATGTTTTGAATATCTCTGTGCAGACGTACTTCTTGTTTATCATGCTCCTTGAACTTCGTTATATCCTTCCCTTCCTAAAAAAAATATATTAATAAAATCAGAAAAATTGCACTAATTTATCAAATATAGAACAAAAAAAAATAGTGCCTACTTTGTCCCCAATTACCAAATGCACTTGGTTCACCAAATTCGCCCACACGCTCTTTTCTGACAACATATACTGCCCACAGCATAAGTGGTTTAATTATGAGTAAAATAATAGCAAATCTTTAGTTTAAAACAGACAATAGTCAAGGTTGATATTTGTTCATTAACTTTGGTAAATTGAAACAACAGATACCAGAAAAAAAAGGATACGTTACACTCAATACAAAATATGAGCTCATTGGTGTATCTAAAATTCAAAAATACTTCAAAATATATTATACTTTTAGTTTTGTGATTACACACGTGCTTTTCCAATATGAAAATACATTCCAATGCCAATTACATCAAAAGTAATTGACATAGCTTGGACGATAAACAACTAAGAAAAAAAGTGAAATTATCAATCGGTTCGTTCGTCATACTATCAAGATAAACAACTTACTAGTGTAACTTGTGATTCTTTATGTAACACTGCCCATATATACAAAACTAATATTAATATCTGATTCATTTTATATGATAATGGGAGCCAATCGTGCATAAAAACCCTATATTTAAAAGAGATGAAAGTAAATAAAAAATTTAGCAATTTTTTTGAATACTCACATATTTATACAAACGAAATGAATACCAAGAATGATCTTAGAAAAATATAAACGTACATCAAGAACTATAAAAATTTTACATTAAATGCTTTACCTTTAGGATTACATCGCCGGATGAAGCCATGATTTATCTATATTTCTATCTGAAAATAAAATTTATTTCATTACTGTACATTGATCTATATTAGAGATCAATTTAGAGAAGTGAACTATTATCATATTATTCCAACATTGCAGGAGATCATAAAATTAGTGACATAAAATCGATCGTGTTGACTCATAAATTCAAAGTTATTTTTATGCTAGCACCTTAATGGAACAAAAGTTTAACAATAATAATAAATAACGTATTAAAATTTAATAGCAACAAAAAAAGAGCTAAAAGAGTGAACTGTAACGTATCAAGAAAATAGTACACATTTCACAAATATATTGCACTTCTAAACTATTGCTCAATAAACAAAAACGAGACAAAAAAACGAGATAAAAATTACCACAAACTTGTAAATATCACTTGTTGTCACAGAATATTGGAAAACAATGAAAGAGCACCATTGGAGTTATCTTTTTTTTTTGTAAGAAAAAAAAAATATGGAAAAACAAAAATATTTTATTAATTTTGATATTTAATCGATGTCATAAGCAAGTATTGGTGATAACCATTTTTCAGCATCTTTGACAGACATATTTTTTCGTCCAGCATAATCGTGAACCTGGAACATGCAGTGAAAGGGCATGCACAATATAATAACGGAAGAAAAGAGGAAATTGGACATTTAGCAAGAGAAAGAATGACATTGTTTGTCCTGAATGTATTTTTCAAAAAAAAACAATTATATAGTCGTGATCAATGGAAAATTCTGAACAAAACTGATTATACAGACTTTCTGGTAACGGATTCTCAGAAAAAAAATTTCGGAAAACTTTTAGTCTCGGATACTCTCAAGATTTTTTTTCGAATTTTTGTGCAGCTATATGATGTAATCGACCGTGCTGACTACAAATATCACATTCATGTTGTTTAAAAACACTTTCCTAATTCATCAAAGGAAATTCTTTTATTTATCACCCACCTAATTATATTACTCAAAATATAGTTTAGAACAGTTTCATAGCGAAAAAATTGATATTTCGACAAAATTCCTTTTTCAATTCTCCGAAGGAGCGCCCCGCCTTAAGATTTCAACAAAAAAAAAGTTGAATGATACGTCATTTGACTCAATTTTTCACGTAGATTACTAGCATCATATTTAGTTTTATGTAATTTAATATCTTAGGAATATCGGGCCAATATAAATCAAAATCCGTCAATTTTTTCATATTTCGTTATTTACAGTCTGTTCTACATTTTTGTTTCGATTTTCAAGCGATATTTAGATAGAGCATAAAAAACTGCATCGATCTATATAATTTGCTCATTGATCCAAACTAAAGCTGAGACCCTTAGAATGGCAAAGTTTTGACCTGGATCAAAAGTGGTACTGATCTATGATAAATGAAAGAACATTTCCTTTTATGAATTAGGAAAGTGTTTTTGAACAAAATAAATGTGATATTTCTAGTCAGCATAATCGATTACATATAACTGCACAAAAATTCGAAAAAACAATTTCCAAAATCGTGGTAGTATCCAAGACTAAAAGTTTTTCAAAAACTTTTCTACTAGAAAATCTAAGTAACCCGTTTTGTTCAGAATTTTCCACTGATCACGGCTATATAGCTTTTTTTTGAAAAATATTTGGAGTTGAAAAAAACGGCGTTAAAGCCACGGCTCTTTTTCTTCTTACCTGATCTTCGTTAATTTTACCGACAGCAAAATAGGTTGATTTAGGATGAGCGAAATAGAGTCCACTAACAGCTGATACTGGTTTCATGGCTAAACTTTCTGTTAATTGAATTCCAGTTAATTGTTCAACATTAAGAATATTCCAAATAGTTAATTTTTCTGTATGATCAGGTTGTGTTGGATATCCGGCTGCTGGTCGTATACCTTGATATGCAACACTCAACAAATCTTTAAGTGGTAAATGTTCATCTGGAGCATAACCCCAGTACACTTTTCTAACACGTTCATGTAATTCTTCAGCAAAAGCTTCGGCTAATCGATCACCTAAAAGAAGAACTTGTCTAATATTTCTTTATGTTGAATAAAAATCAATTTATTTACCTAATAGTCTAATGATAATTGACGAATAATCATCTGCCTTTTCTTGTGCATACTGTTCACCTATTTGTTCAACATTAAATATTGCTAAAGCAAATAGTCCAATGTAGTCCAATTTGTTTGGATCAGATGAAATAAAATCGGATAAACACATGTAACTTGTTTGTTGTTGTTCACCTTCACGTTCAATTTGTTGCCGTAAACCGTAAAGTGTTGAAATTTGTTTTGATTGATCATTTGGATCGTAGAGAATAATATCATCGCCATGTGAACGACAAGGATAAAAACCAACAACAGCTTGAGCTTTAAATAAATTTTTTGACAAAACTTCATTTAATAAAGCTTGAGCTTCGTCAAACAAAATTCGCGCTTGAGCACCTATGAATAAATAGAATAATTACTCTCACTGCAAATCTAACTTCTACATTCAAAAAACAAAACAATAGAAAAACTTTCGTAAATCTAAATAGTTTTCATTCTACCATTATAATAAGTAAATCTGACATTTTTTAAACTTTAAACTATAAAAGGATTTTGGTAGTACGTACCAACTTCTTTACAATCAAATAATTTTGGATACCCTCTATTTGGATATTTTCCTCTTATTTGCATTGCATCAAAAAATGGTTTCCAGTCAATATAATTGACTAATTTAGACAAATCGTAATCATTGTATACTTTATTTCCAAGATAGGTTGGCTTTGTTATCTCGAAAGTTGACGACATCCAATCGATCATATAACGTTTTTTTCGTGCTAGTTCTATGGCTACACAGCGAATTTGATTCAAATTCATATAATACTCATCACGAATATCCGAATAATCATCCCTAATATCTTCTAAATACCCGTCAATACGTTCTTGACCTAAAAATAAAATCAAACAAATAGATTATAGTGTGATATGAAGAGAGTTAACCACATACTCAATAAATTTCCACAAACAACAACACTTTTTGAAGCATCCAAAACATGAATGACGGCACCTTGATACCGTGGTGCAATTTTAACGGCAGTATGTTGTCTAAAAAGAACAAAAACTGTTGACACAGTCGCTTTCAGAAAGGGATCTAATATATGGTTCAGAAGGACACGTTCTTCTCGAAACTCCGGAGTTAGAAATCAGTTCATATTGAAGAAAAGCAAAAATCAAATTCCATCGAGTGAAATGAAACAATTTTTTTGACGAAAGAATAAAAACTTAAACTTCTTAGTATTTTTCCTTCTGTTATTGATGTACAAAGAAAAGATGCGCTTGTGATGATAAAGTGTTACGTTCTCTATCGTTTCCTTACGAAAAATTTAGTAAAGTCAGATATGATGAAAGATATGTATTCTCAACTGTCCCTTGCAGCAGAAATCGATTCCAGTCAGCACAGCTACAGTTGGAAGAGACTTTAGTACCATGAACAGAATGCTGATTAATCTTTGAAAACGTCTCACCAGTAAACATGTTGAATAATTGCCGTTTATATTAATCGAAGGACTGTTTATATTCACAGACCATTGAAAAAAGAAATAATTGATTGTTGGTAAGTAAAAAAGGGCAGGAGAATTTAACTTTAAATGAAAAATCGTTTCTTTTTGTGTGATATGCCATAAAAAAATCAATATATAGTGAGAAAGCGCAACAAATTTCTAGTACTACTATATACTTTGATTTATGGGGAAAAAATTGCAAGACCCTATCGAAACTTAGAACGACCTTTCGAGGAAAAAAGCTAACTTCTTCACTGATCACATCCTATTTGATACAGTTGCACTCATGAAAACTAATTTGAACAGATTAATCTCGTAGAAAGTTCAAGAAAAGTATTTATAATAGAAAATTATTAAAAAATTATTTTAGAACTACATCCTATTTGATTAGTTTGATAAATTATACGAAAGATATTACTAACTTCGACGTAGTGGCACCACCAATTAACAATGGTGTTTTACAGCCCAGACGTTGCATTTCTTTCGCCACAGTAATCATTTCATCTAATGATGGCGTTATTAAACCTGATAAGCCTGAAATAAAATGAAAAATATGAATAACTGGAATCGCTTGACATAATCATACACACCGATAAAATCCGCATTTTCTTCCTTAGCAACTTTCAGAATTTTATCACACGGTGTCATTACACCCAAATCAATAACACGATAATTATTACAGCCTAATACAACGCCAACAATATTTTTTCCAATATCATGTACATCACCTAAACGTACGTAAAAGAAAGATGTAAAAATTTTAGTAAACGAATCAAACATTAATTTACCTTTCACAGTGGCTAATACAATTGTTCCAGCTGTTTCTGTACCTGTTGATGTTAAACCTTGGTGTTTTAGTTGTCTTAAATTTTGCTGTTTTTCTTCTTCCATAAATGGAATTAAATAATTCACTGCTTTCTTCATTACACGAGCTGATTTAATAACCTGAGGTAAAAACATTTTACCAGCGCCAAATAGCTCGCCTACTTCACTCATGCCTTTCATTAATGGTCCTTCGATAATATTCAATGGACGTTTGTATAGATCTTTATTTTGTCGTGCTTCTTCAACATCATCTGTAACATATTTATCAATACCTTTAACAAGAGAATATGCAAGACGATGTTCGACTGTTGTTGAACGACGCCATTCTTCATCTTCAGCAGATTTTTTAACATTTTTATCCATATTCTAAAACAAGAACAGATACATTATTGATTTATCAATATACAATAAGTATACATCACTTTACTTGTGCATATGCTAATAATTCTTCAGTAACTGTTGAACGTTTATTAAATATACATGCTTCACATAATTCTCTCAATTGTGGTTCAATATCTTTATAGATTGGCAACGCACCAGCATTCACAATACCCATATCAAGACCTGCTTGAATTGCATGATACAGAAAAACACTATGCATTGCTTCACGTAATTTATCTTGTCCACGAAATGAAAACGAAATATTCGATATACCACCACTACATTTCACACCTGGACAAGTCTTCTACAATGAGATATTAAACATTAAATATTTATATAAAGATAGTTTTCATAAGAAATAAATTTAGTATCTGTTTTCTTCATATCGCTTTATGCTCACTTTAATAATTTTGATAGCTTCGATAAAAGTAACAGCATAATTATTGTGCTCTTCCATCCCAGTCGCTATTGTCAAAATATTTGAATCAAATATAATATCATTTGGATTGAAACCAACACGGTTCACTAATATATCGTATGAACGTTGACATATTTCACATTTACGATCGATTTCAGTTGCCTAAATAGAAACAATAACAAAAATTTAGCTGGAATTAGACTACTGTTACACAAAGTCACTCTATAGTTCTCTACGAAGCAGTGCACGGATATTAAGAATCAAATTTTATATTAACGCAACTGGTATATAAATGAATAAATGATTTATGGTTCTTACTAGTGAAAAACATGACTTACTTGACCTTGTTCATCAAATGCCATGACAACAACAGCTGCTCCATATTTCTTACATTTATTGGCTTTTTCAATAAAATCTTCCTCTCCCTCTTTCAATGAAATACTATTAACAATACATTTTCCTTGTGTCACCTTCAAGCCTGCCTCAATAACGGCAAAATTAGATGAGTCAATACACAGTGGCACTTTGGATATATCTGGTTCCGATGCTAATAAACATAGAAATTTTGACATGATAGCGCATGAATCTAACATTCCTTCATCCATGTTAATATCTAATACTTGTGCACCAGCTTCAACTTGCGCTTTGGCGACATCACATGCTTTATCAAATTTATTTTCTTTCAATAATTTTAAAAATTGTCTTGAACCGGCGACATTACAACGTTCACCAATATTCACAAAATTTGTATATTTCCCAATACAAAACGGTTCCAAACCTAGATGAGTTTTAAATTACACATATCTTCATTGCAAAACAATATGAAATTAAAATGGTCGTATAAAAAATAAAACATCGTAAAAATACACACCAGCTAATAACATATCTTCCGAATGTAACTCTTTTGGAGGTACACGTGGTGGATAATGTCTGACTTTATCGGCGATTGCTCTAAATAAATAAGATATAATTAGGTAAACTATTAGTTTATTGCACGATTGTATCTGATAAGACTCTGGCGTTATAATTTATCGCTACTATACCATTGTTCGTTCAAATTTTAGCGGAAACTGACTTCTCGTAGAATAACAGAATATATGGATAGTTACAAACGATATGTAATGAATAAAATACAACTGTTAACCCATACCTGATATGTTCTGGTGTTGAACCACAACAACCTCCGACGACATTCAATAATCCATCTTTTGCCCATTCAGCAATACTATTAGACATTGTTTCTGGTAATTCATCATATTCACCAAATGTATTCGGTAAACCTAAAAAAATGAATTAAAATATAAACTCTTTCATTCACATTTCTTAATAAAAACACAACTGAATAACATAAATCCAACTGCTACTGTTCCAAAAATATGCTATAATAAAACGTTTGCATAACGTTTCTGCTTATGTATAAGAAGGAGAAGAAGAAAAACATTTGACTAAGTATCGGTTGCATTATTTGTGAATAAAAGAAGCTGTATTTTGCAACTGACCGGCATTCGGATAACATATGGTATAAGCTGTTGTATTCTTGCTAACTTCTTCTAGAAATCTTCTCATTTGATTTGGACCAAGTGCACAATTTAAGCCAAGACTAAATGGAAAAAAATAAGAAATAAAATACGATTATTTTATCAATTACAGTAGCTTTCAAAAAAATTACCAAACTGGATTTGCGTGTGAGACACTAATAACAAACGCATCAACTGTTTGACCTGATAATGTACGACCACTCATATCAACAATTGTACCAGATATCTAGAAAAAACGTAAAATAACATCAGAAATTCAGTTCATAGTTTATTTTTGAGTTGAAAAAAAGTTTTTAAGAATCTACCCAGATTTGAACTGGGGGCATTAGATTCGGAGTCTAAAGTGCTAGTCGGTACACTATAGGTCCAAATTTCGAGAAATCTAAGTTTACCATAACTGATATACTTAAGAAAAATATTCATAAAAAAATCGTTTCTACAACGCACCATGTGTTTTATATTTTCACGACCATTAAAAATAAGCCCGACCATGTACTTCTAATTCAGTTCCAAAAAAAGGACTAAAAAATATGTAGTTATCATATCAAAATCAGTGATTTATAATTTAATATTAAATGCAACTTATTAGATTAGTTATATGATTAACATCAACTCTATCAGAAGAAAAGAAAAATTACAATTGTTAAAACTGTGCTCTTTGGAATGGGCTAACAGTTTTAACAGTTGATAGTGTTCAATATTACAGTATCTTAATCACATCATATTCATCCCGGTTTATAACTTACTAGTATTGGTTTTGATTGTTTAATTTGCTCAAATAATGTTTTTAATGCGTAAATAGCTGTTTTACAGTTAGCTGTGTCAAATATTGTTTCAATCAAGAATAAATCAACACCGCCATCAATCAGACCTCGAGCTTGTTCCATGTATGCTTCGACTAATTCATCGAATGCTAAACCAAAACAATATATAAAACATTTGTCTAATACAAAAGGGAAAGAAGCATACTAATGTTTCTGAAATCCGGTTTTTCAACAGATGGTGATATTGACAATGTTTTATTCGTTGGTCCAAGAGCGCCAGCAACAAATCGACGAATACCTGTAACAAAGGGAACAAACAATGCGTAGCGTGGTGCACAGAAATATCTGATTCTTTAGCAATTTTATGGCAATTTTTGGTTTTTTCTCTATTCTATTTGTGTTGTCTCAAAACTTTTTGAAAGACAGCCATCAAAAAACAATCTTAAATTTATCATCTGTGACAACCAGAAAAAAAAGAAAGTATTTTTTACGTGAGCGGTCGCTATAGAAATATTAGAGTTCTTGAATATCACAAGTCGGCACCACAAAATGTTTTCAGTGGTATAGCACTTTAGATAAGGTGATACTTTTTATCATCGGACAGCACCTGAGCACCAATGTTGCTTTTCTCCTTTTGACTTGATATAAATCTTTATTGATCTTTACCTGTTGTTTGTGTGTATTCATCGGCTGCTTGTCTAGCTAGTAGCGCTGATTGTTTGTTTAAACGATAAGAGAAATGTTCTAGATTATAATCTGCTTGAGAAATGCATTGAGCATTAAATGTGTTCGTTTCAATGATATCTGCGCCGGCTGCTAAATACGACTGAAATAATAAAAAAATAAGAGCTAAAACCGATTACTATTATTATTCTAAAAAGTCTGAATTATGATAATCGAAAACAAGAAATAAACATACTCTATGTATTTCTAAAATAACATCAGGACGCGTTATTGACAATAGATCATTATTTCCTTTTAATGGCTTTTCATGGTTGACTAGTTCATCATTTCGAAAATCGTGTTCTTCTAGTTTGTAGCTTTGAATCATTGTGCCCATTGCTCCATCAATAATCAATATACGATCGTTTAACGATTGTATGAATGCATCTTCGCACGAATCTAAATATGAATAGATCGCAGTTAACAAGCATAGATATCAGTAGTCATTATACTGTTATACCTTTCTTGATACGCAAACTGTTGTCTGAATCTTTTGTTGTTGGTGGCATTCTTACAAAAAATTCCTAATTTAGAAAAATTATTCTCTAGAAAAAAAGTGAAAAAAATTATTAATCTAGAAAAAAAGTTCTCTTTTGACAAATGTCACAGATAAATATTACTGTGATAAACTAAAACAAACTACTAATACCTTCTCAAAAGACATTTCCCACTTGGGTACAATAAAGATAATAGAAAATTGAACTGTACAAACAAACAAATAAGCAAAGTTTTTTTTTTCATCCTTCCGTTCTTCTTTTTTGATTTGTCACATAAGCACACGTGAAAGTTAAGCATACGTGGTAGTATCAAAGCCGGTTTACGTTGGTCGTGCCAGTGTTTCTATGAATTCTGAATAAGATGAATTTTGTACACTTTGGTTTAAATTGTAAAGTGTATAGTACATAGTACAATTGGTTTTCAAAACTAAGCTTAGTTCTGGAAAAGTCTTATATGTAATGTATATGAAAAAGTTGTCAAAAGACTTCAAGTACAAGGGGTGGGTGGGATGAGAGTTTTTCCACGTTCTGCCTCATTGGAAAATTCCTTGATAATGAACTTTTTTTGAATAGAATGAAAAAACATGTATCTAGTTGGGCAGTAGCATGCAAAAGACAGATGCACATTTCGAGTGAATCTGATTTCGATTTAACTTTTATGATTGTTTTGATCACTGTTTTATTGCACAGACTAATAGACTTTTATTCGCCAAAAGTGTGAGTCATCACAGGTCATCGATCTGTAATAATAATGACTCAAGCCAAGCGACATCAAAAGAGTAAAAAAAGAACAGAATAAACAAGACAACTAACGTTAGGACCAGAAGTAGTAAAAAGGAAAAAAAAAGAAAGTAAAAAAGTTTTTTTTTTAAAAGAAAAAAAGAAAAAAAAACAAATATAAATTCATAACCGACATATTTCACTGGAAGAGATACTGAAGTAAAGCTGTTTTGAAAGACGTTAAAGAAGACAAATAACTGACTCTGGGAGATTATTCCAATCAACGATAGTTGAATAAAAAAAAGAAGCATGTCCTTGGGAGACAATGTTCTTGGCATGATCATTCCACCTAAGATGGTGCGAAACAAGAACACCAAGATAACGAACAGAAGACACAACAGAGAGAGGAACACCATTGAGATACAATTGATTATAAACATACGGAAAGAGATGGAAAGAAAAAGGAAGCCAACAACATTTAGAAACGTTTAGGGACATGAGATTGGAAGAAGACCAATGAGAAACAGAGTTTATACAGTTTTGAACATGAGAAAAATTAGAAGAATCAGTAGGGGAAAGAGAAACAATCAAAAAAATTAAAT